CCTTCTTCATTCTAGGACTCTTGTGCCTTATCAGCTTATCTCGGATTCCGATATCTTCGGAGGTAACCTCGGCCTAGCTGAGATAACCTCGGTGTCATGATCAGGACACGTGGCACCTCGGCTGACACGTTGGCATCACCTTGGCCACGTGTTGGTACTCAGAAAATATATCCCTACACTTTTATTATCACATATAATTTGTTTTTAGTGCACACATTTTTCGACAACAACTTTTGATCTATTTTTAGCAACGGGAAATATGTGCACAAAATTTTCACTCACTTTTTCTCTCTTTATTTGGCAACTCTCAAGCTTTTTCTTTCTCAACGCTTATTATTTTATTTTTTCTAGAACAAATTACAAAACAGTGGTGCTTGAGGGACAAAAACTACAAATTAATTAAGATTTTTTTATAGTAAAAATATTCAGATGTACAATTTAAATTTCACAGTTTTATTTATAATCACATGATAAGTTATGTGTAAAATTTTAATTTATCACAAACTCAAATATGTAAAGCTCGACTCTGTTACCGCATATAATTTGTCACAAACTCAAACGTGTAAGGCTGGACTCTAGTACCACATATTGAGAATGAATTATTATTTAAATCGTCAATCTCTACTAAAATTGTAGCATATATGACAGCTTGAAAAATAATCACAATTAGATGGAATAAGAAAATGCAACTTTTTTTTTTTTTGAACTATAAGAAAATGCAACTTAAAATTTTGACCTTTTCACTCTCTTGCTCTCTCTTTCTATTTCTCTTTCCCCTCACTCTTACTCACTCTCCCTTTTTATTCCTTATTTCTTTTCTTTGGTCTTTTATTATTTTTTTTTTTTGAGTAAAGTACAAATATATCTTTGATATTTTCTTAAAGTACAATTTGTCTTCTGTGATTTTAGAAATTATTTCCCACCCCTTGAGCTATTTCATAACAAATGACTTATTTTATTAATAAATTATCAAGGCAATTAATAGTTTTTAATGATGTTAACTTCTTTCAAATTATTATTTTTTTCATTCTTCTAAATATAATTATATTTTTGTGAAAGTTACATTTTTCTACTATCGTATTTTTCAAATGGTCATATTTTTTTAACGGTCATATTTTTTCAAATTTTTACAACGGTCATATTTTTACAACAGTCATATTTTTATACTTTTCCATTATAAATAAGACATTCCCTATCATTTGATCTTACCTTCAACTCAATTTTCTACTTCATCCAAACTTCCATATCCCTCTCTATGGCTTCCAATTCTCTTTATGATATGCTTGTAAATGACTCTGACTTCTCTGAATCTGATGATGATTTGGAGATGCTCAAAGCTGTTACTATGGATGAAGAACTACTAGATAGTGAGATAGGATCAAACTCACGTCGTGGTTCTGTTTGAGGTCGTAAAGTCACTCATCGTGATTATATTCAAGGTCATGAAAGGCTTTTTCTCGACAATTTCGCTGAATCGCCTGTATATCTTCTTGAGTTATTTCGAATGAGGTTTCGGATGAAGCGTTCACTTTTTCTTCGAATTCAAGCTGCAGTAGAAGCGCACGATCCATACTTTCTCCAAAAAAGAAATTGTGCTGGAAAGCTTGGTTTGTCTTCTCTTCAGAAGATAACTGTTACACTTAAGATGCTTGCTTATGGAGTAGCCGCTGATTTTATGGACGAATATGTGAGAGTTGGAGAAATCACTGCAATAGAAAGCTTAAAATATTTTGTTAAAGCAATTGTTGATATTTTTTCTAATGAGTATTTGAGGTCACCAAACAGCAATGACATCGCTAAACTACTAGCGGTTGGTGAAAGTCGTGGATTTTCTAGAATGCTGGGGAGCATTGATTGTATGCATTGGAAATGGAAAAATTGTCCGACTGCGTTGAAAGGTATGTATACTGGTCACATTCATGAACCAACAATTATTTTGGAAGCTGTTGCATCATATGATCTTTGGATTTGGCATGCGTTTTTTGGATTACCTGGGTCTCATAATGATATCAATGTGCTAGAAAGGTCTTTTGTATTTACTGAACTTGCTCAAGGGCGTGCTCCTGCAGTCAATTACACCATTAATGGTAATGAATATACAATGGGATACTATCTCGAAGATGGTATTTATCCACAATGGTCAACATTTGTGAAAACAATTCCTTCTCCTCAAGGAAATAAGAAAAAACTTTTTGCTGCAGCTCAAGAGGCGACAAGAAAAGATATACAACGTGCATTTGGAGTGCTTCAAGCACGATTTGCAATTGTGCGTCGACCGGCACGTTTTTGGAATACTAAAATGCTTAAATATATTATGAAGGCATGCATAATTCTACATAATATGATCACTGAGGATGAACAGGATGACAATGGAGTAAAAGACTTCAATTATGATCAAATCGATGACAGTCCCCATGTAACAGTGTTACAGGAGAGAACTATTGAACTTATGGAATTCATTCAATGTCATTATAACATTAGAGACAGACAAACACATTCTCATCTCCAATCGGACCTTGTCAAACACTTGTGGCAATTACACAGCGAGTTATAAAAGCTTTGAATTTGAAGTTTCATTTTATGTAGTATGCTATTAGTTTTGAATGTAATCAGTATATGCTTTTAATTTATGTGTAATTTTATAATTCTATATGCCTTTCAATTATATGGTTATCATTTTAATTCTATATGCCTTTTAATTATATGGTTTTCACTTTAATTATATGCCTTAAATATATATATATATATATATATAATTAGCAATGTAGAGAAAATACAGCACAAAATAGCAGCAAAAATACCAACAAAATAATAGCAAAAACACCCCAAAAATAACAACAAAACAGCAACAAAACTAGTTCAAAAATATGTAGCAGACTTGTAGCAGCAAAACAACCCAAAAACACCATCAAAAGCTAGAAGATTCATATATCTTAAAAATGTTAACAAACTGTAGCAGACTTGTGTCTCACATAGCATATCATTCCATTAAATTGTATGGACAGAAACCAATGTTGAGCTTAATAGTTCACACAAAAGCACTAGAAAGCAAGCAAGTTGACAAGGCCCACAAATTTGAAAGAAAGCAACATCTCTCGGCAATTCCCTAGCAAAAATGTAAGGTATAACTATTACCTTCGAGACAGTTTAACCAACAGCTACTAAAAGTACTATTATTGACCATAAACAGAGATTTTCTTTTGCAACTCAATCAAGCTAAATTAAGTTTCATCCCAAATTCTTAACTATTTTGCCAAGTTTATATGTATTCTCCTTCAAATTTCCACTCATTCTTGGGCAATATTATATTCCAATTCAAATTTCCACTCCAGTCAACGGATTTACAATGGTCAAATGATGTGGTTCTCTCCAGTCAACAGATTTACACTTAGTTCTCACAATGCTTTCAAGGTTTAACTTCAATCCATCTTTATAAATGTTGAGATTAATTCATGTTAAAAGTTATGTTTCATCAAGCACTATAAATGCTACTTATCAGAAATAACTAGTGAAGTGTTATTACTGTTATGTAATAGTTTAAAAATACCCTTCAATTTGACCAAATGTACACCAGAAACATGAATCTGATTCTTTCATGGCTTCATTCCATTCCAATTTAGGAAACCAAAATTATACTAATACAACCCTTATAGTATAAAATATTTATCTAGCAACTATTCAGAAACTTCAAGTTTCCGATGAACATGGTCCCACAATGGATCAATTTCCAAATATCACATTTCGAAGTCCAGTCAGGTTTATTCATTAAAATTTGTCTAAATATATGAATTTGTTTCCTCAGATTGTCCAACTACACACACAGAGATTAGCAGTTCAAATTTTCTGTCAACCGACTTTGGTAGTTATTGATACAAACACTGCTTTGGTAGTTATTGTTGGAAAAATGGTATTTTATATGGTTTATTTTGGGCCGACTTTGAGGCCAAAATTTTGTGGGCCCCAAACGTCATTTGGGGTGGGTCCGAAGAGGTGACGTGTTCCTTGTCGCGTGGCAAGTCACATGGTGAAGACGGAACGTCAAAACCATTTTTTGAGTGAATGGGAGGTTGACGTCGTTTTCGGGTCTAACATTAATTTTTTAGATAAAATTCATTTGAATTTTTTCAATAAAAATTATTGTGGGAATTTAATTTAATTCTAAATTCAAATTTTGGTTTCCTGAGTAATTTCCTAAAATTTGTAATTGTGGGAATTTAATTTAATTCTAAATTCAAATTTTAGGTTCCTTAGTGATTTCCTAAAAGTTTGTACATTTTCATTTATTTATTAAACTATTCAAATAGTTTAATATATACATTCAATTAGTTTTTTATATATATATATATATATTCTAATTGTTTACTATATATTTATTTCAATGGTTTATTTAATATAGTCCCAACCTCAAAAGGTTCTTATAGGCCTTAACAGATTCGGGTTTTTGGGCTGTTTGAGAACAGGTAATTAACTGCTACGGTTGCCACCAGTTAATCTGTTCAATAAAACAAAACCTGTTCATTTCCTTTTTGCACCTTTTCGGGTCTTTGTAATTGCCTATAAATACATGGTTTTTCCAACAGTTTTGGGTATGAAAAAAAAAAACCAGTCTTATATTTTGTCTTTTTGCCCAAATTACTTTTAGTGCATTATTCTTCATTTTAGATTTTAGAATAAATTAAAGAGAGTATAGATCACAGGTTTGGTTCGCCGAACAAATTTATTTGAAGTGCTTCTATAAATTTGTGAAGATCATTGTATCCTGGGAGATAGACGCCACTCAACCGTAAGCACCATAGCGGGGCGAATTTGTCTTAAGAATTATTTATTTATTTATTTATTTATTTATTTATTTATTTATTTATTTATTTATTTATTTATTTATTTATTTATTTATTTATTTATTTATTTATTTATTTATTTATTTATTTATTTATTTATTTATTTATTTATTTATTTATTTTAAACTTATCATATCTAATTTTCTTCTAATAAATGCTTTAAACAACTACTTTATAGGTGGATGAAGACTTACACCGAATGGTAATATCAAGAAAGAAATGATTTTTTTTTCTTATTTATCTGTACAAAGTTTTATTTATCACTCTAAAGTTTTTGTATATATAGATTCAATTTCTTCAACAAAGAAATGTTAATGTTGTTCACGATGAACGTGACCTTAATACTATTCGTATTCATGAGGTAAGCCTAAAAGTAACTAATATACGAATGCATTTTCTTATCATTTTGTATATTATTTATAAATAGATTCTACTTATTTTTTTATAAGCAAAGGCAAAGAAAAAACACAAAGCAACATCAAAGGAGACAAAAAAAGCTATCCCTTCTGGCAAAGGAAAGGAACATACAAATCCCGTGGTATGGTTTCTTAACATTTTTATAAAGTTTGTTTTCCAAATATTTATTAAATTTTTGTTTTTATATAGATTTTTTTTTAAAGAATTGCATAGTGTCATATACTATTTTTTATGTACATTTTTATGAGTTATTGTTTTAAAATATTTATGCAATTGTTTTGACTGATTTTGAAATATTTTTCTAAACTATGTTAAAGTAAGCATTTATACATGTTAACGCATTTGTCTGAACATTAATTTGAAATAGATTTTTAAAATTAATTAAATGAATTTTTTAATTATATAAAATAGGTTTTTTAAAATTTTTATTTTACTTATAAGTTCTTAAGGAAAGAAGAAAAGGACAACAAACAATTTGCAGGTTGCAGTTTGCAGCTTTGTGTGTGTAATGTGTTTTCAAATTATTTTTTTCCTCCCTTTTTAAATTTCATCAATGCACACATTGGTTTTTATGTGATTAACAACTCAACCGAGCGAATAAGAAAAGTTAGTTAAACTTTTAAGAACAAATACATGATAAAAGGAAAGCAAGAGAGGATAATCTTCACATTTTATGCACCTAATTATATAATATTCTCATTTTAGGCACACAATGATAATGTGTTATTAAAAATTGCATTGACTCAACGTGCACGGCGAGAACGTGAAAAAAAACAAAACCCATGTTCTGCATACCAATTAGGACAGCGCCTGTGACGAGAACGAGAGAAATCAAAGAAATGTATCAATCCAGGACAACCTTCTTTAACACTCAATTGATAAGCAACTCTGTTAAATATATTTTTATAACTGTATTTTAATTTTAATATTATTTATACCGTGCCTTTAGGCACGGGCATACGCTAGTATATATATATTGAATGATTGAGATACATTATTATATAGCATTAAATCTAAATCACATATCAATATTTATAGTAAAATTCTGATTTCTTAGAATTTTAAAATATTAAAATATTTTTTTCTGATTTCTTAGAGATTCTGAATAAAAAAGAAAAAAAGTGAGGATTAAAGCAGGAGATTATATATACAATTAAAAAAAAGTAATTCGTTAAAACTTACGTACATTAATACTATATTATTTCTGAGAGATAATAGAACTTTTGAAAATTTAAAACCTCATTAGTAAAACTTGGTACTCAAAAAAATTGAAGGCAAGTTGAATTTGATGAGTTGAAAATGTATTATCTGATAAGTTCCTTTGAAACTTTCTCAAGAACATATGTAATGGTTTGGAGATCCAAGCAGCGGGACTATAAGAAAGGACAGATTTATGCAATCCCATTCTGTTGCATAGATTTAGTACCATGGCATGTAAACCAAAAAAAATAAAATAACAACCATCAACATTGAATTTGAGAAGGTTCAATAGTTTAAAGGGAGAGATTAGTGTTATAAAGCCTGTTTTGCTACCAAACCATCTCAGAGTCTATTGGATGCCCCCCAATTGAAAGATGGGAGTGATTCTCTATCTGGACACAATTTTAGTCCCCTTGAGCCTATTCTTCACAATAGGCTACCATGCCTTCCTCTGGCACACCTTCAAGAACAAGCCCTTTCTAATCAGTATATCATTTTAATTCTATATGCCTTTTAATTATATGGTTTTCACTTTAATTATATGCCATATATATATATATATATATATAAATAATTAGCAATGTAGAGAAAATACAACACAAAAATAGCAGCAAAAATACCAGCAAAATAGTAGCAAAAACACTACAAAAATAGCAACAAAACAGCAGCAAAATCAGTTGAAAAACATGTAGCAGACCTGTAGCAGCAAAACAACCCAAAAACACCATCAAGAGGTAGAAGATTCATATATCATAAAAATGTCATAACACTGTAGCAGACCTGTGTCGCACATAGCATATCATTCCATTAAATTGTATGGATAGAAACCAATGTTGAGCTTAATAGTCCATACAAAAGCACTAGAGAGCAAGCAAGTTGACAAGGCCCACAAATTAAGTTCCATCCCAAATTCTTAACTATTTTGCCAAGTTTATATGTATTCTCCTTCAAATTTCCACTCATTCTTGGGCAATATTATATTCCAATTCAGAGACTAAACGGTTTTTCTGCACGCACTTAACATTCTTTTAAGTTTAAACCTTCTCCTGCCATTTTGGATAAAAATTAAAGAGACCTGCATTGGTATCCTAAAACTATAAATCTTTTACATATATACATCAATCCATTTCATTATGATTCTGCCCAACCACCAAACTACATCATTTCAAGCTTAAACACATCACTCCTCCCCAATATCATCTTGGATGATCATTCATCAATGCTCAAAGCTATACCACAATTAATCAATTAGTACTAGTTGTTGCCCCGTCTCAACCACAACCTACTTTTGGATTCAAAAGCTAAGAACAAGTAAATATTAGTACTTACATTAAACAGCAGCAAAACAGCCTAAAAATACCATCAAAACAGCCCAAAAACACCAGCAAAATAGCAACAAAAACATATTAGAAAACAAGCCAAAAATGGCAGCAACACAGCACAAAGAGCAGGAGAACAACACAGCACAAACAACATCTGATTAGACAACTAACATTGTGTACCAAAACATTGCTGAGTTCAACATCTATCCTAGACAAAAGCAAAACCAAAAGCAAAAGCCAAAATATCATATATCAAGTTTCTAGCCTACTAGACAAAAGCCAAAATATCATAAAGAGCAAAGAAAGGATGAATACTAATTCATTCTTCTTTTCTTAATGATTTCCATCTGCCGAGCACGATAAAATTCTTGTTGGATTTCCGGCAAGCCACTGAGATCCATCAAAATAACTCTTTCGTCCTCTTTGAAAAGTTTCATTTCATGCTTTTCAAGTTCCACCACTTGCTTTTCTTGCATGATACGAAGTTCCACTTATTTCAATTTTCTTGTCAATCATTTTCTTTTTGTCTTGCTTGATGTCCTCCAAAGTTTTTGTAATACTCGAATGTACGCTTTCTTTGTTCTTTCATTTATTCAATCGCTCCTTTCAGCCTTCTTACCGGTTGGTCTCTCCAAGTCTACAAAAGCATTAGGTGAGACATCGGCTTCCCCTAAATTTATCGAATCCGGAGTACAATGAGAAAAGGTTGTCCCTATTCTTGGTCTTTTTGGTTGTTTTTTCTTCTCAGACTCTACCACCCATTTTGGTTGATCCCTTAACATAATCCAACGGTGTTCGAATTGGAATGTAGATTTCTTGAGTTCCTTGTACATAATTTTTTGCAAATCTGAAAATTAAATAAATAAATAATATGTAGCAACTTCACAAATAATAATAATTGTAGATGTACAATATTCAATACATTGTCATCCTCATTTATGCCTCTTTGATGCAATGATTCAATTTGGGCACAGCACCCACAAAACTTATTCATGGCAAGCTGAATGGTTGACCATCGATTCATAAAAGAATTTTCATTTCGATTAGACTCAAATTTCTTGTGCTCATGAAAAAAATCCCATACTCTTTTCCAATAGGTAGAGCGTTTTTGCTCATTCCCATGTACCGCATCTAAACTAATATTAAGCCAAGCCGATACAAGGAGTTTGTCTTCTTCTGTTGTGAAGTTTCCTCCACGTTGAGGTTTCTTCGACAAAGATTCAATTTCAGCAATAAATTGAGACTCTTGGGCAAATACTTGAGTATTTTGATTCAAATATTAAGATTCCATCAAATAATGTTCATCAATGTTGGGCCTTTCTTGTAAAAGATTGGTAAAGTAACCATCTTGTTGTGAATCTATACCTATGATTGAATAATAAATAAGAATTAAGAAAGCAGTGTAGAGCAGAGGATAATTTATTTATTTATTTATGTTTCCATCGAATTGACCAAAAACCTATCAGCACACCAAAACACAAAGAAACATGCCAAAACAATAAGTCATTACAAGTTACAACATGTGCTAGGAGTATCAAACAAAAGTTATCTCTATTTCCCATTTTTCTAGTAAGCCTTAACAGATTCGAGTTTTTGGGCTGTTTGAGAACAGGTAATTAACTGCTACGGTTGCCAGCAGTTAATCTGTTCAATAAAAAAACACCTGTTCATTTCCATTTTGCACCTTTTCGGGTCTATGTAATTGCCTATAAATACATGGTTTTTCCAACAGTTTTGGGTATGGAAAAAAAAAACCAGTCTCATATTTTGTCTTTTTGCCCAAATAACTTTTAGTGCATTATTCTTCATTTTAGATTTTAGAATAAATTAAAGAGAGTATAGATCACAGGTTTGGTTCGCCGAACAAATTTATTTGAAGTGCTTCTATAAATTTGTGAAGATCATTGTATCCTGGGAGATAGACGCCACTCAACCGTAAGCACCGTAGCGGGGCGAATCTGTCTTAAGGACAGAGTGTCACACACTCGACTTGGTCTTAATTTTTTTTCGGTTCGATAAATAAATCTGGTATGTTATTTATTTATTTTGTTTGAATTATTTCAAGTTATTTTATTTACACAGAAGATTGTTCCAACAGTTATAGCTACAAACACTGCTCTATACTTGTTTTAAAACCTTTGTTAATTCTTTCTACATTTGCTATTAACCACAGATTTTTAAAAAATAATAAATAATAAATCATCAACAGTTAAGAAGGGTAATAAAATATCAACTAACTAAGCACAAAATAAAAAATAAAATATTTTTTTATCAGCATATAGAAAAACAAATTAAGAGCATTTTAGGTTGCACATGCACCAAACATATGGAATTTATGTTTAAAGTGTTCTATCTATGGAAAGCATTTAAAGTGAATTTATGTTTAAGAGAATTTATGTAATATGGAATTCATGACATAAGAGAATTTAGGTTGCACATGCACCAAACATAAGAGAATTTATGTTTAAAGTGTTCTGTCTTTGGAATTTATGTCAATAGACAGCATATGAAACAAACAGAAATGACAATCTATATGAAAGCATATGAAACAAGCAAACAAAAAACATAAACTGGGTACAATTTACAATCTATATTCTAACAGAAATTACAACAAACATATGGTGTGCAATACAAATACATGGACAAACAAACAGAAATGACAAAATTTATTACCTCCCTTGAACAAAAG